ACGCGGTCGGTCGGAGAGGAATATTAGAACAAGCAGTAACATTAGCGAGAATGTATGAGAGCTGATGAAAAGTCTGTGTCAAGTGTAGGTAGATGCTAGTAGAGCGCGGCCGTTCACAATCCGGTGAAAGCGGATCCCTTGGGTAGGGGACAGGTCCAGGGCAAGGCTTGGCTAGAGTAGGGGCGTGCGCTAGCAATAGCGTACCCGGGCTAGTGTTGGTTGAGCAATTGAGTGTGTGAGAACAGCTATGGGCTACGCAAAATTATGTACAGGTTAAATGGTCGACAATAGAGAAGGTAAAGCGATGGGCACCGTGGTGAGATTACGAATTATGAGGTAGACACCTTCACTGCAGCCGTTAGAAAAATCTCTCTATCACTCTAGTCAATTAACAATCATGTTTACGAGCTACTATAACGGAACAACGTATGTACACTGTACAGCTACGCTTCTAGACACAGCCGGCACGCGTGTGTCAGTGAGGTCTTCTCACTTCACGCTAATCATCTACACGACATCTCTGCAATATGCACTGCATTACATGCATATATTATTTATGCATATATTTATATATATATATACTATATATAAGGTATGCAGAATCTACACTCGCTGTCACAATTCTACAGATAAATATAATAAACTTTATCATAACAAAAGCCACTCGTGAGCCCAGGGTGGAGCATATACAGCTTTTCCTGTTGGGAGGGAGGGGGTCGGGAAGGTTGGGGGGAGGTGAGCCCGCCTCCTTAAAACTACACGTACGACTCCGAGTCACGCAGACCGGACTTCCTGCGCAGCTGGCGCGCCGTGTACGTGTAATAGATGGCGCTGGCGTCGCTCGGCGGCCTGTAGTCGGACTGGCTCTCGTACCTCGCGTCGTCGCGGCCCTGCCACGGTCTGTAGGGCGCGATGGCGTACTCGCTGCGCGTGCTGCACGCTGGCTTCTCGAATGTCTGCCGCAGGTCGGACACGCTGCTGCGCGGCGCCTGATGGTGCGGCATACCGAACACGCGCTGCCTGGCGGCGGCGCCGGCGCGCGGTGGCGCCCTCATACGCACGTCGTTCTTGCTGCCGGCGTCCATGCCGTAGTAGTAGGTGTCGCGGCCGGACCGGCGCGGTCGGCTGCTGCCGGCCGTGGCGGCGCCACCGTACTCCGATCTCGTGACGGCGGCCTCCTGGCCGCGTGCTGCCCCTCTCTCGTCTTCCATGCCGTAGAAGAAGCGCTCCTTCGAGCGCGGCCGCGTCGCACTCTCCGCCACCGTCCGGCCCTTACTCTCATCCTCCATGCCGTAGTAGTACGCCGCCCTGCCTCCAGGGTGCGTCGGCTTTTCGCCGACCTCGGCGACTGACGCGAGTGCGGCCGCCTTTTTCGGCTCACGAGTGCTCGCCTTCGCTGCGGGCGCCACGCGGGGGCGCTGCTGCAGCTCGCGTCCGCTGAGCGTCGCCGCGTAGGGGCGCTGCTGCGAGTGAGCGCGGTACTTGGTGTCGCTGTTGCTGCGGTGCACGGGCACGGCGCGGTATGTGCCGTCCGGTATCTGCATGTTGCTTGTCGAGTGTGGTCGCTCGCGCTCGGACACCAGCTCGGCTCCAGGCGTCTGCGGCGCGGCGGCGCCCGCTGTCTCGGCGTTGTGCTCGCGCTGGTACTGCCGCAGCGAGTCCTGGTACATCAGCTTGGCACCCATGTCCTTCACCTTCTGCCTGATGAGGATGCGGTCGTCGCCGCCGATCCACGACGACGAGCCGCGCTGCATCGTCTCCTCGTACGTCGGCGGCCGCTGCAACTTCCACTCGACCGGTGGCGCCCCATGCGGGCCGGGCGTCGACGCGGCGGACGTCGGCGTGTCGAGCACGCGCTGCCAGTTGCTCTCGTAGCTGCTGTTCAGCCGGTCGTCGCTCTTCACCTCGTAGACGACGTCGTTGGCGGCGCCGCCGATCTTGATCGTGTGTATGTAGGGCCGCTGGTTGCGGCGCGCCTCGTCATTGCTCGTCGCGCTGTTCGAGCGGCTGTGGTCGTAGCTGTAGTCCGACTCGGCCGAGAAGTAGCCGCCGGAGCCATTCGACGGCTTGCGCGTGCGCCGCGGGTCGTCAGGCGCACTGCAACCTCCGCGGCCGCCGCCGCCGCTGCCGCTGCCGCCGTCCCCGCCTGCCGCGCGCACGTTGTAGTCGGGCGCAGGGATGTAGACGGGCGGGTCGTTGCTGCCCGGCGTCTTCGCGTGCTTCTTGTGGCGAGGCGGCACCTGCGGCGACGGACTGCGTTCGTGTGCCATCCTGACGCGTCCGCCCTCGCTCTTCGACCGACTCATCGAGCCGCCGCTGGCAGTGCTGCGCGACTGCCGCGCGGCGCCGCCAGGGGGCGCTGCCGGCGTCTGCTCGGGCTCGGTGAGCACGCCGTCGTAACTGCAGCTGCGTTTCTCTTTCACCAGCACGCCGCCCGACGCGCCGCCGCTGCGGTGGCGACGCGGCGGCGGCGACGGCGCGCGGCCCTTGTTGTGGTGGGCGGGCCGCAGCGGCTGCGCGGAAAGGTAGAACATCTTGCCCGCGCGGCGGCGGTTGTCGAGCCTCTTCTCGGGTGTCGTGGCGCCCTCTGCCGCCTCGTCGTTGTAGTACAGGTGGCCACCGCTAGGTGAGCGCAGCAGCGTGCCCATCTCGTGCGTCGTGAACAGCTGGCCACCGTCGATTCCGTCGCCGGCGAGCAGCGAGTCGACCGACGTGCCGCCGCAGCACGAGTGATCAGTGGCGTCACCGTAGCCGTGGCTGGTCAGGCTCTTGCTGAGGTAGTCGTGACCGTTGGCGCCGTGAGCCGCATGGGCCGCATGCTTTGCTTTGCTCGTGTCTTCCTCCTCCCTGTCAACAACAATCGTATAGCGTGTGTCACATGCGCATTCCGAAAATCGATGAAATTTGCGGCTTTTGTGGCAATGTAAACCATGGCAACATTCTCACTGTTACACAGTGAGAATATACGTTGGAAATTCGATGCCAGAACATGGCCGTGTAATTAATGTAACTAAGTACCGGTCACAAGCTCTACGCCAAGAGTTCATTTTTATCTAGTAGATTTTTATAGTGAGATGCGTGCGTTCTCGATTAATTTTGGGTAATTATTATATATTATTAAATATATAAATTATAATATATTATGATAATTATTGGATAATTTTATTAATTTATTAATTTTAACTCATAATAAAAACTTCTTAACTTAAATTAAATTATGCGGTTTCTAAACTTAATTGCTCACCTATACTCGGTGTCTTCCTCTCCGTCAAACAGGTGTTGATAGCTGAGCGTGAGGCCTGAGTCCCGACTCAGGTTGGTCGGTGATGTCTGGTTGGTAGGAGACGCCTCCTTGCCTTCTGTGTCTATCTCCAGCTCGCACTCGAGACTATCCACTGATGAGTTGTCTCTAGCAAGTTGACCTGTGATAGACACGCGAGCATTAAGCATAGTTAAGTCATGTATGTTAATAATCAGCCACTACAAACAGAAGGTAGCCTTGGCATTAAAATTAGTTAGCGAGTAAAAAAAAGCGTGATTTCTGCTAGTGTTACAAGTTACAACTACATGAACTGCAGTATCTGTAAGAGTAACGCAATTAAACTACTTCAACTATGTCAACTATAATACCCGCTTCAATTACATATTCAGTTGTGTATATGTAACCACGACTATTATGTCAATTTTATTTGCGTCACTATTACATTTTACACTTTGCACGAAGTACTTGCGCATGCCACAATAATTATGAGTATTTTCAACAATATAGAGACCACACGTGTGCTAATTCTTTTCGAAGTGCTCTTCTAATCGACACTATAGGTCAGGGGTTCTTAACCTGTGGTCTATGGACCCCAAACGAGTCCGTGGATGGTCTTCAGGGGGTCGATTAACCTTATTGTATGCAAAATTTTGTGTTTATGTTCTTATGTACATTTTTGTGGGGAGGGGTCCGTAGCTTTCACCAGACTCTCAAAGGGGTACATGACTCAAAAAAGGTTAAGAACCACTGCTATAGGTGAAGATATATACATATTAATATTCGGTACGCATCTATTCTAGAAATAGCGCTTGTTACCTGTAAGCTCTCGCATACTGTGTGTGGAGTCGGAGTCATGTAGTGATCCGTCTCTATCCACAGGCTCTCCGAACAGCTCAGTGACGTCATCACCCAGCAGCTCCTTACAGTTCTCAATAATGAACTGGAGCGACAGCGGTCCCTGTGGATTGCAGACGAAATGATATGATGAGATACCGCCTACATCTTTCTACATAATCGATTCTCACATCCTTTCTACACATTTCGACATCTATTTGGACACCAAACAGCAATGTCACGCAACTATACAACCTTACAACCCGCGTGAGAAGTCCCCCCCTCTCTCTCTCTCAAACACACACACACACAAACACACACACAAACACGCACTAACACACACACACACACACACACACACACAGCACAACACACACACACACACACACACAACACGCGCAAACACACACAAACACACACACACACCACACAGCAACACAACCACAAACACGCACAAACACACACAAACACACACACACACACACACACCACACACACACACACACAAACACACACAAACCACGCACAAACACACATTTCACACACACCGCACCCCCCATACACAACCACACACACACACACACACACACAACCACGAATACAACACACACACACAAACAGCACACACACACACCACCACCAACAAACCACCCACCCACACAAACACAGCACCCACAAACACACCACGCGCACACCACACACACACACATCACACACACAACACACACACCAACAGAACACACCACACACACAGCACACACCACCACACACACACACACACAACACACACTCACACTCACCACCAACACAAACACTCTCACCACCCCACACACACCGTCCGCGCGCGCGGCGCGCGCACACCAACACACAGACACACACACCTCACCCTAACCCTACCTTCTGGGTAGCATCTGCCTCGATTTCCATCGAAGCGCCCTCTGGTGGCCACAGCAGGCTCACGCCGACGCAGATGCCGAGGTTTAATGCATTCATCTGGTTGTCGGCGCGGCGGCGGTCGATGTGCCACAGGACGCAGACGAAGTGTCTGAGTAGCTCGACGTGAGACGCTGGTAGCTTTCCAACCAGGCTGCGCCGAGAAAGAGAGAGAAGAGGTAAAAGGTTAGCGGCTATTCCACCTGGTAGACATGCATCAACTCCACCGATCTCATCAATGCTTGCCATTCACGCTTGCCATTCATGCTTGCCATTCACGCTTGCCATTCATGCTTGCCAATTCAACGCTGCTTATTTCAATACCTGCCAGTCACGCTTGCCGTTCACGGGCTCTCGATGCCATTTGGCAAGACTTTGAAACGTAGGTAAAAGAATTGCTCACGGTATATCTCCGTAACTGTAGCCGGGTTCTAGCGAGCTCCCGACAAACAAACTAGACTTCGAAAGGTCCAACGTGTGAGACCGCCACTACTAAACACGTTTACACTACTTCAAGATACCTGGAGCAGTTATCTGCTCCATGCGATCAGCACTATCCCTACCCTGCTAAGATATGCGCGCCTCTTGTCAATGTATCTCAAGTAGATTCATGAAACTTATTGTTGACACTTACGTTTTGAATTTGCACATTTCTGTGCAGTGTCCGTCTCCTCTACGGCTGCTGCCCACTCGTGGTAGAGGTTAGACATGAGGAGACAGTACGGCATGCTTCTGCAGAAATCCTGAATAAACACAACGGTGGCTGTCAAAGCTCTGTTGGCAGGTGTGCAATGAATGTTCGCGCGCAGGCACGGACGCGCGAAAACATACACACACACACACTCACTCACACACGACACGCACGCACGCACGCACGCACGCACGCACGCACGCACGCACACACACACACACACACACACACACACACACACACACACACACACACACGTACACACACACGCCGTGGGCTTTCATACACAATCGCAGGCTCATAAACACATGCGCACGTCCACTTCTGCATTCACAAGTATGCACGCACGGACGCACGCACGCAGACACGCGCGCTCACGCACCCGCACATATACACACACCCGTTAAAGCACTCACGCGCGCATACACGTATGTTACCTTGAGTACGGTTGCTGAGGTGAGCACCGAGATGTCGGCCATGCACACAGCCTCGCCCGTGTCGAGTTTCTGCTTCAGCTCGTTACAGACGCGCTTGTTCGCTGAGCGTCTGAAGATGCCCTGTGTGCGCGGACCCTGCGCGAACAGCTCCCTCAGTAGCTCCTGTACGCAAACACCGACGATTAACAACGTATAAATAATGCTAACATATGCGTAAGACGCAGCGTAGTCACAGCGTAGTCACAGGTCACAGCGTAGTCATATTTGAGTCAGCTGCCGTCGGCTAAACCTTAATAACCCGGCAGGGCTTGTGTGGTTATTGTTTAAACGTCGACTTCGCTTATACACGTTGGTAACATGACGTCTCGGTCACATCCCATGGTTAGTTTAACTTGCACTTATACATGCGATCAGTGAATACAATGCGTAAATTCACCCGTAGACAGATACCAAACCATCGATAAGTAATGGCCGAGACTGAAATCTTAACAGGAGTCATCAGGAGTGAATAACATCGATTGCTTTTATAAGTTGTTATCATAACAAAAATTGTGATAATCTTGTCATGAACAAATATTTGTTTTTTATTCACCCCTGGTACAATTTATACCGTACATCGCCCAGCGTGGCGATGAAGGGGGCGCAGTAAGAGAAGACGCCATGATCGCGAGAGGGAGAGGGTTACGTACCATGATGGGCTTCGGCAGGCTTCCTTCGGCGTCGCAAACATCGCTGAGAGGGTGGCGGAACAGCTTGCCCGTGGGGGTGCCAGCCGGAGAGCTGTCACTGCTGGGCGACTCCTGCAGCTTACCGGAGCGCTTGAACAGCGACTTTAGGTTGGCCGGCGAGCGCTTCTTGCTCTTCTTCGGCGAGTCTACGACGAGGAAATTATAAAGGTTAAAAGTAAGTTAATTATTTAGTTCATATTTATTTTTATTTATTTGTTTATTGTTAAGTTTATTTTTTCAAGTTTATTTAGTTTAGTTTACGTTAATTAAACTAATTAAGAGGAAAAATGCACGGCACGGTGAGTTTCCCTCCCTAACTATATATACACTGCCTGTGCCGCTCTTACGCTAAACTTCCCCCTCGCTGTTCTATAGTGCGTGCGTGGGACAGCAGCGACACTTCTGATTGCTGAACACGACTATAGCGACTTAATTCGTAGATAAGTAAACTCGTAGATACAGTTATGAATGGACAGCTACAGGTGAGGTAGCTACACGAACGCAGAAGCACCAAAAAAAAGAAAAAGAAAAAGAAAACAGAAAACAAAACAAAGGAGTACAAGAAAGCAACGGTCATATATTGCACATAACATCTACAGATGATAAGTCACGTTAAGCGATGTTGGAATAGAGGCGAGGGTGAACCACAGCTATACTCGGTAATCGCTGCAGCGAGCCAGCGCTTACCTGTAATTGTGGGTTTCTGTCGCTGCACGAGCCGGAACTGGCAGTGCGTCTGGTTGTCCGGCACGCATATCTGACCGAGGTCGAGCGGGCTGCTGAGGTCGTCGCCATGGCGACTGTCACGGATGAGGCTCATCAGGATGGAGTAGGGATGTTCGTGTCCGATGAGTGGGTACGTCTCCTCCTTTCCCGACGTCACCCACAGCTGGTAGTTGCCAGCATCTACGGCCTACACGACAGGCAAAGTCTTCAGCATACTACCCTTGTTAATGCACATGGTGTGTGCACGCGTGCGTGTTTGTGCGAGTGTGTAACTTCGTGTGCGTGCGTGTTTGCGCGTGTGCGAGTGTAACTGCGTGCGCATGCATGCGTGCGCGTGTGTGTGGCTTGTATTGAACACTCACATTGATCTCAAACAGGTTGCATGCCTTCTGGACACACTCGGCTGCTGTCTCCGTGTTCGAAATTGTCACCGACTTGTACTGAAGTGAAAAGTATATCACATACATAAATATCAGCGTGTGCTAACACATCACGTGACACCGCTGGGGAATGCTGTCACATATAGGAAATACTAAACGTATAATTCCTGCTCAATTTTGGAAATATCCTAACAGAAATATTGTGGGATAAGAGTCATGACTCGAAACCATCAATAACAGGCGGTACCATTTGGCAAAATTTCGACCATGCTGTTTAAGTTATTAAATGAGTTATTAAATCTTATTACTTACATGAGCACCGTTGTTGGAGTTAGAGACGTATATCTTCAATACAACAGTCTTAGGCACTTCCTTCTCTTTCCCCATCGCGATTAGTCTGTACAAATTAAAGCACATGATAGGTCAGTGAGATTATTAAATTTATTAAATTTATTAAATTTAATTCGATTAGGAATTATATTTCGTTAAAAAACTAACGAAAAACTGGTTATCGCTCGCCGTTAATTTATTTACTATTGCATAATAACTTGATTTGAACTCTATTACTAACTCATAAAAAATAAAATCGAATAATAATTAATGCATCACCTAATCTTACAGGTTCGTACAAACCTAAATGACGACCTCAATGTAAATGACGACCTCAATGTAAATGGCGAATAAAATGTTAGTTTCACGATTGTCCTTAATATTGCGCAGGCAGGCAGGCAGCACAACTCACTCTTTTAGCTTCGCCAGCCAGTTGTTCTTCAGCTGCGGCGACGCGAACGTCGCTACAACGTTCGTCGTGGGCCAGCCGATTACGAACGAGGTCTCCTGGTGCTTGGTGGCCTCGCAGACGATGCTCAGGCAGTCGCTAAACCACAGCTCGCAGACGCGTACCCGGTGCTTCAACTTGTACGACGTGCTGCTCTTACTGTAAGATGTGCATATAGACGCATTACTATACCGCGTATTATTATTACATTATTAAAAATGCGCGCCCTATATATTTATATATATATATTTATTTATTTATATATATATATATTAATATATATAATATATTAATAATATGGCGCCATATTATATATGCGCGTTTTATATTATTATATCGCATTACTCCAACAACATCGGAGCAGGGTGGCATTAACAGACAGCATGTAATAACATCTACAGGTAGTGGGGGTAACTGGCGCGTACACACGGCGGGCGATGCTACAGAGATTCGAATAGTGGCGATGCGCAGTGGAATTAATAATCAAAGAATTGTTCGTAGTATGAAATATAAACTTTAAGTTTGAATTTGTCATCTATACAGAGCGGCGCTGTCTTATAGTGATACACGCTGCTTATAGTGATCACACCTACTCCCATCATCTCTCAAGAGAATATGATTCCCCATATCTCGCAGATGTGCGCTGCAGATTTGAGGCAGTGAACAAAATTGTGATCCCTGTTATAGATGTACTTACTTGGGTTTTGCTATCAGGAGTAGATCACTGAAGACGAACAGATGTCTGTCCTGAACTTGCACGCCCTACAAGAAACGATCACAAACATCACTCAAACATTGAGGTAACCTGCCAGCCGACAGCTCTAATGTCAGCTGTTCATAGCACTCTGGGGTAACACCAAGATATAACTAGAGTCAATGATAACACAACATGCCGCTATGGTTCAAGGTTTACTTCTCATGCTCTCCTTTTAGATAATAACAAGCTCGAACTAAGTCAGTTAGTGAGGTCCGGTACGAAAATGCAAAACGGGAATAGAACCGCCATCCCCAGAACGCACCGTGCTGCAGAAACCACTCTTCCAAGATAAATTTCAAAAAAGAAAATGTCGGCAAGAACGTACCGACGTCAAGGTGACGGGTCCTTCCATCACATAGAAGCGGCCAGTGTTGTTATTGAGCGATGACCTAACAGACCTCGTCTCAATGTCCATCTGCGGCCTGAGAAAAATCCAGAAAAAAACTATTCATGTGTCACGTATCAATAATGGACACAATTGTAACCATTATGTCGCTGCGTGTAGCGGGTATTGTCGCAGGGGGTCAGTCACGATGGTTGTCTTTGTTACGCACGGCTGCTGCAAGTGACAACAAGCGGTTCGGGCGTTTTACAACGCTCGATTGCCTACACATATGGGAACCAGCTTACCACATTTAAACTAACAGAAGCTAGGGTGGAAACTGTGGCAAGAATAACACAGAGATGCATAGTCGTTTATTGCGCACGGGAGCACAGCCGCTCTTGAGTACGCTACGCAGGCTGGTGCCCTCTATTGTGCAGATATTGCGAAAACATTTGGATATGGTAATTTCTTCACGCAAATATAGGCACTAGGTTATACAAGTGGGGTGTCAGGAAGTAGCAACGCATATTTCACCACGATGTGGATTATGCGTACTAACAGATTCGCAATAGTGTGATGAATGAATGATGAACTTACGATAACGAGAGTGTGAAGTTATTTTTGTAGCCTTTGCCTGCAAACGTCTTTCTTCTCTGTAACGTCTTGGCTTTCTGAAAACGTAAACAACAACCACATCATGAAATGACTGAAAAGAGCCTTCAAATTCTGGAATTTGTGCTTTCCTTAGGTATATATATATTATATTATTTACTTATATATATATAATGATTGATTATAGAGTGCACCTACTTGAGGGTAGATGCCCAGCAGGCCTAGATTGTCATTTGGGAAAAGGTTCTGCACTTTCTCCAGCCTGTACTCATTCTGCACATCTGCGTGAACCACGTCCTGTGGCTCCGATAGCTGCTTCATCATCTGCAATAATTGACACTGTGTTATATGTGTACCGATAGGTAGCGCCACTGTTGAAGACTTGGTACCACGAAACACGATCAAATCATCCTGAGGCTGTGGTGCTTATCTGCCGATATAGTGTCAATAACAAATATAACATAGTGTATATAATTCATTCTATGCGTTTAGAACATGTGATGTCCATATATATATATATATATATTTTTTTTTTATATATATAAATGCGTGATGTGTGTCGGGCGCGCGTGTGTGTGTGTGTGTGTGCGCGCGAGCGCTCGCGTCTGTGGATGTATGCGTTCGCATCTGTGCGTGTGCGTGTGTGCACGCGCGTCTGTGCGCGCTCGTGTGCTTGAGTGTATTTGCTATATTAGAAACTCACGGTGCTTGTTCTGGCAGATGCTCTGTTCAGTTCATCAAAATCAGGATGCACAGACTGAGTCTCTAGCAACAGCTCCTGGATGTACTTCTCATAATTCCATAGCCTTTCAACCTGGAAATAATACAGAATAAACTAAGTTACCTTGAACAGCCAGCACGCGGCTATGTAAAAGCTAGGTCATCTCCCAGCGCACGCGCATTTTGTATAGCAGCAAGTAAGACTATAATCTCCTAGAGTAGGTGTCCTGTCACCTGCCTGTTGCTAACTAATAAGACTGCCTCTCACCGCAGGATGACCCAATTGCTGCACCAAATCGCTGCACCGAAACTACAGGGCGGCCATCTCTAAACCCATCTGCTAAAAAAACTGCAAAAAAACACCTGCCGCGGGGAAGGCTTTCCTGTCTATAGAACTCGCAGAGGATTTGTAGGAGACGTACAAAACGACGGTTGCAGCCGATAGCATCGGCAGTAGGATCAACCTATACGTACATCCGATCCACGCATCCTCCACAGTTCACCATTCTCGTGGCTAAACTGCAACAACCCCTCTCAGCGGGACGCCACTGCGCTACAAAACACGAACGAAATCGTGTATCGAGGATTCATGTCTTTGCCCGGTAAGTTAAACGTAGGAATGCGTCTTCGAATTCCTAGCATTCCCATGTTGACGCGCGACAAAACACGAACTAAATCGTGATTCGAAGATTCATTTCTCTGCCCGATAAGTCAAATTTTAGAATGCGCCTTCCCATTCCCATGTTCACGCGGCAGCGTGCGCTCATTTGCCTATCAGCACTCATCATGTATTCACAACGATCGTACCCTGTCACGCCGCGCTCACGGACTACCTAGCTCTATACTTGTGTAGAAGAATCGATGGCGCCGGTAGAAAGAGATGTTCATCTACCACACGGCATACAATGATCCTCACACAACACTCTCTTATAATAATGATGACGTCACTATTATAGAAATATACACTCAGTGGCTGCCCTACGGCCCATATTTCCTTCCTTCCCCCACACACGCGCTCGACCCTAATAGAATCTAGTTTTGCATTCACTGCGTGTCACACCTTCACTAGTTTGGTTTTGCGAGTCCGTTGAGAACCGGTCACCGGGTGTCGTTCGCTCGATGACGACTAACACGGCATTACGATTGTAACCGAGTCACAGGTGCAAAGACAAGGGAAATAGATGGGAGAGTTTTAAACCCACCCACGTCGGGTGCGCGCGTGCGGTAATAAAACAAATTGGTTCCTTCTTAGCAGGGCAAGTGTGCACGGCGTTCGTACACCGTTTGTCGGATAAATGTATAGACACGACCGTCCAACATCAATAAAACTCTCGTTTTATTATGAAGACCTACTTCCAACCATCCTCGGCACCCATGACTCTTTCTCTGAACAGTCGGTCAGTCTCCTACCGCCGTTCCTCTGCATGCAGCTGTCCCACATATCAACGAGTGTATGGAATCTAACGCACACACGCAGCAGCAGCCGCGTGTTTGCTGCCCCACCAACCTATATTCACGCATCCTGTGCTCACGTGCTATAGCGCCTTATCAAAACCATCGTCGCGTCGACACAGCAAAGAACGAGAAACACAAGGCATCGCGCCGATGCCATCGCTTTATTATGTCGTCAAACAAAAGAAGCCATTAACTAATCTTCGCTCGACTGCTGCGCGGATCGTTGTTTCGTGCAGGTATGCAGGCAGGTGGCGGCGTCAATCGGCCCCCGCATGCAGTGTTTCGGTACGCGCAGCAGACGGGAAACACTTGCGTGCGAGCAAATATTGCTACAGCTCGCCGAAGCCTATCAATGGCCCTCTCTGCCGCCCGTGAGCAAACACCGTATCGCAACAAACCTTCATCTCTGCGTTTGCGATGCTCTGCGTGCGATTTATTACGCGATTATGATTGGGAATGAAAAATTGAAGGAGCTAATCGGTTCTTCGTGAGTTTAATGCTGGCGCCGGAACAACGACGCCGCGGTGGCGTGCTACGTGGTTTCGAGAATGCAAATGTATTCGGTAACCTTCGGCATTGTCCCTAGCGTTCTACAACGTTTGTCTACGGCAGGCAGTCTCATCCGTAGCACGTAATCAGTGGAGGCCACGATTATACATCACATGCGTAAAACGTAGACCTAACAGCCACATAGAACGGTGTCCGGTCCACTCGGTTCGCAGTTGACCGAGTTGACGAGTCTTGAGATCGGTGAGCTCGGTTCGTGAGATGAGTTGACGCGTCTGGAGATCGGTGAGCTCGGTTCGTGAGATGAGTTGACGCGTCTGGAGATCGGTGAGCTCGGTTCGTGAGATGAGTTGACGCGTCTGGAGAACGGTGAACTCGGTTCGCCGGCTAACTCGTGAGATGTTTCACACGCCCTAACTCTAATATCTCGCGAACGATTTGAGTTACATTTCTAAAGTTCTAGATACATATAAACACATGTCTTAGCTATGGTTTCTGTGAATTTTGAGTTTATTGAAGCACGAATAGTTTAATTAATTACCAGAAATATACGTACGCGCGGTATAGTCATAGGCTAATATACGCGCGGTATCGTCATAGGCTAATATCTCGCGAACGATTTGAGTTACATTTCTAAAATTCTAGATACATATAAACACATGTCTTAGCTATGGTTTCTGTGAATTTTGAGTTTATTGAAGCACGAATAGTTTAATTAATTACCAGAAATATACGTACGCGCGGTATCGTCATACGCGCGGTATCGTCATAGGCTAATATCTCGCGAACGATTTGAGTTACATTTCTAAAATTCTAGATACATATAAACACATGTCTTAGCTATGGTTTCTGTGAATTTTGAGTTTATTAAAGCACGAATAGTTTAATTAATTACCAGAAATATACGTACGCGCGGTATCGTCATACGCGCGGATACGCGCGGTATCGTCATAGGCTAATATCTCGCGAACGATTTGAGTTACATTTCTAAAATTCTAGATACATATAAACACATGTCTTAGCTATGGTTTCTGTGAATTTTGAGTTTATTAAAGCACGAATAGTTTAATT